TTAGTTCTCTTTTTTCTTTCTTCGTAAAAAGCCATCCCCCAGGTTCTGTTATCTCCCTGCCCCTGTATTGCATCTTCATAAAGCATACATTGGCATTGTATCGAGGGACATGAAAAAGACAAGTATACTTGAGATCCGTGGCGATTCCTTCACCCTTCCGAGGTATCATCCTGGGTTTTAAAACGGACCAAAAAAAAATGGCAAATAAATCAGCCAGACATAAAAAATGAGCGAAAATCCAAGTATTATATAGTAAAAAATATAATCGATCCAGACAACTGATGAGAACCCAAGTGAAAAATAACAACCGAGACAGACCATAATAGGTTGAGGTATGTATTGAGCCGGAACGTGAATGCATAGATGGGAGTCCTGTACCGGCAAGTGTCCCCCGTCTCTGCCAGCGGGAGTGTCCCGCGACAACGATCCTTTGGGTGGGTGTATCGAAAAAATGAAGTAATAATAATAATCCAGTATAAAACAAAACAAAATCGACGAGTCACGGGGCAATGGCGGCGTGAGACGTTGCGATTGGACCTGTCACGCGGCGTCCGCAAGGCGAGAGACGGTGAGCAAATCCAAGACCAAAGCAACCCTTTAGGCAGCGAGACCGTTTAGCTCGGGCACTTGGGGTTGATGCCCAGGGCGCGGAGCGGCGTGCCAAGGTCGAGCGGGACGGTGGTGTTGTGCGTGGAGAGGGCATTGGCAAAGTACGCGAGGGGCTGGCCGTGGTTTTCGACGGTCTTGCCAGACAGGTCCATGGGAACGATGCCGTCCTTGCACGAGGGCTGGGTCGTAACGGCGGTCAAGATGGGACCCTGCTGGATGCTGGCACGGAAGGGGAAGACGTTGTCGCCAGGGACCAGAGTGACGTCGTCGATGTACGAGATGCCGACAAAGCTGCCGTTCAGGTAGGTGTTGAAGGTGACGTTGCCCTGGGAATGGTTAGTAAAGTTGGTCTCGTTGAAAAATGGTATAGCTAGCCTGCTGCTTTTTGGCTTGGAGATTTTCTTTGTTTCGACTGCATCGCAACTTACAATTTCAAAGGTGACCAGGGATTTGTTGGGGATGGTGGCCGTGGTGTGGAAGTTGGTGCCATCGGTAAAGTTGGAGGGGTTGATGGAGCTGTTTTTAGCGTTGAGGCCGTTAAAACCGTTTAGGCCAGGCATGGTGATGGTCTTCTTGAAGGTGACACCGTATTTCTTGCTGATGCCGGGGACCTTGACGTTGGGGTAGCCCAGGACCGTGACGCGCAGAGACTCGTTGTTCAGCAGCCAGGTGTTGAACGTGGTGAGAGCTGGGATGTCGGCGATGTCCACGTGCTGGCTGATGTTGACTGTCTGGAACGGCTTGTTTTGCGTCTCGGGGAAGTCAATGGTGACAAACGGCGTGTGGCTCGGCTCGTCCTCGAGATACATGACGCCCTGGAACGCCTCGACGGTGGCCTTGGTGGTGCCCGACTTGAGTGTGGTGTTGATGCCGAGCGTGAATGCGTTGGTGTCGGTGCTCGTGCAGGAGATGCCCTGGACGTCAAGCACGGCGTCGTTGATCTTGCTCTGCGCAATGTTCTTGACACCGATGAAGATGGTCAACATGACGGCCAGCACGATGGCCAGGATGGCCAGGATGGCATACAGCCACCAAAACCGCTTGAAGTGCGTCCAGAACTTGGACTTGCGCGAACCAGGCGCTCTGGACTTGCGGCCGTTCTCGAGCTGCTCGGCGTTGGCGACACCGCCCTCAGCGTACTTGCTGGAGTTGGGCGGCGAAGGCGTGGCATGGATGCCGTCGTTGTGGACTGCGCCAGACATATTGGGCAGATGGGCGGATTTGTCGAGTGTTGTGAGACGGGAGGAAGAAAGAAGGAAACCAGAGTGAGACGACACGACAGAAAGAAGACGGAGGCCGTGGGAGAGAAAATAAACAAGGGGGGTAGGCGGCCAAGCGAAAGTTTAAAAGGAAAAGAGGATGACGGGGTGAGAAAAAAGAAGAACGGGAGTGAGATTTTAAGACTCGGGGAGGAAAGGATCAAGACCAAATAGGAAACAGGGAAACAGGGAAACAGGGACTGGGGAGGGAAATTACAAAGAGAGATCCAAGATCCGGGGCAGAACAGAGTGGTAGGTTAAAAAAAGAAATCTGCGAGACAGACTGACTTAAGCGGACCAAAGTGGAGGATACTGAAAAGAGGAAAAGAGAAAAAAAAAAGAGGAAAGAAGAAAGGAAAAAGAAGGAAGCTACGGGGTAAGGTATCATATGGGGAAATGAAAAGCAGCGAGGGGGGTCCGGTATAAGAATCCAAAGAGGGAATAGTTCTAGAGAGCAGGTGCGAAGGTGGGTTCGACGAGTGAAGAGGGGTGGCAAGAGCGGAAGGGAAGTAAGGAACTAACGACAGTTTTAGACGCGGAGTGCGGAGAGCAAAAGACGACGCCAAAACAGTAATTACTCAAGGCGAAAAAGGACTGGGGAGAGATACGAACTACGAGGACGTATTCGAACTGGGAAGATTGTCGGTGGAGCTCAATGTTCCGGCTACGGCGAGAGACAAGACATTTGCCATGAGCTTTGCGACAGTTCTTGCCCCAAAGCGGAGAAGACCAACAGCGAAGGACCAGCAGACACATGGGAAATGTCTGGCATGACGGAAGGAGCGAGGAGTGGCAGCGGATAGAGTGAGTCAAGAGAGCGTCAAATACGTCTCCCCAGATGTCGGTATCGAGGAAAGAGCAAGAATGCCTCGCAAGACGGATCGTCATGAGAGGTTCCTCGTGTATGGGGAAAGACCGCAGGGGAAAAAGGAGGAGAAGCAAGCAATGAGGACGATCAGAAGCAAAAAAGAAGAACAAAACGACAAAATGGAAAGCACGACCCATGCTTAGACCCAAGGACCCCAGTCCTAGGCTCGTCTGCTGCTCTGCACAGCCCACAACGAGCAAGCTTTTCTAGTTGTGTGCTCCCATTTTATTTGCTGTTTTGCAGCGTGCCTTCTACGAAGTACGCGTGCGTGAGGTGGGTTTCCCCTCACGACGAATTTTGCCCCATGTTTTTCGACACGGCGCTCGTGAGCAGGCCGAAGGACTAAGCCAGTTTAGTCCACCTTTCCCAAGAAATACAAAGTTGACACTGCATGCAGGAAACAAGGTGCTCGCAGGGTCTTTGGATTGGCACATGAAGATAAAGACGAACAAGAGAAGTTGCACGCCCCCTCCGCCCCTCCCGTCTTCCCCCTTTTCGGGTTCGGGCGTGGCGTCCTTTGGCGCACGCAAACTGCCTACTGCGCAAGACATACAAGGACGAGCACCAGAAAAACGACAAAAGAGATTGGCTGGGAGGTAGCGCCTGTACTCGGGGTGTGGCGAGTAAAAGAGTAGGGGAAGGAAAGGGGGCGTGTGAGGTTGCACTGGCCAAGCATCGTAGCAAATTGCAGGCGAAATGGGGTGCAAGCAAATGTAAAATACACATGGGAAAGGGGCAGCGAGTGAATCGAGGCGTACACGTATTATTTCGCAAGACCTTCGTGAACAACCATACCATAATTGGTCGCACGTCGCAATCGAATCCCAAAAAAATGCAGCACAGACTGCAACGTAAGCCACCGACGACAGCCGCGCATGAATTGGAAGCCGACGAGGACATAGCGATACTGCGCATTGTGAAGAGAACAAGGACAATGCACCATTCACTTGCGCTTGCTGTCTCGTGTTCCTGCTCCTTGGGGGGAAAAGTACAAAAAGCTGGCGAGAGCGGGCGATCGTCGCAGTTGGTCTGGGTTCAACCGGGCGTACTTCCGGATGTGGTGTTAGGAGGGCCAACTGGGCTTGCCTGGGGAAAACAAGCTCAGGGCGCGGAGAAACAGGCTTACTTAATACATTCGCTGAAAGCAACGCATACGAGCACCCTGCTATTTGCAATCTTAACGCGTGCAATGGAGGGGACGGCAAACGTCACACGACTTGAGCGTCCGGAGGCACAAAACGCAAAACGTCGTCCGAAGTTTTTTTTTTTTTATAAAAAATTATTTATTATTATTTCGATTCGGTGTTTAAAGACGGCAACAATGATTTGTCGATTTGGACGGCTTACACTCCGAATTCCAGTGGCTCCCATCACCAAACGCCACAAGCTGGCGCCCCAAACGGGCCAGTGCAGGTTCCCCCACATCCGCCGCCACCCGCACCTGCAGAGATGCTGTACTGCGCTGGAGACGGCTGCTTTCGGGCTTTTGGCGACGGGCAAGTGCGCTCATGGCGCGTCTGTCGCTTGGGGCTTCCTCGTCTGTGCGCGTGCGGCGTGGAGGACGAGGAGTCGACGAAATAAGTAAGATTACGAAAAAGACAAACAGACAAACGGAGCTGCTATTGCACGATACAGTTGTTTGTCCTTTGTTGTCTTCCTCCGATGAGCAAGGGGTATTTTATTCTGACTTGTTTTTTCCCCGTTCAATGTTCAACGCATACGATGTAGAAAATTCCCCTTTTTCCTCTTTTTATACAAAAGGCTCTGCTCTCCAAGAAGCGCAGTCAGGGGAGCCCACTAGGCCACTGCACCAACAGGCAGGTGATCGGCATTGCTGACCCGCAAAATGAGTCGGTGGAGGCAAAAGGAGTGGAGGAAATAGGAGGGAATAGTGCCTCAGTGCCAAACAAACGGGAAAGAAAGAAAGTGTGGCACAACTGGTAGGAAACCAGGAGACGGCGTGAAAGCTCCTTCCTAGTTCAGCACTGCAGAGGGTGCGGGGGACTGAGAAAAGTCGCGAGTGACTTCCTTTGCGGTCACAGACCAGCAACAAGATACGTAATAACTACTCCAGGAAAGGTCACCCAACCTGGCCTGCAGTAGCGCGGCCACACCGGCCGGTCTAAAACTTTTGGAGTCTTTTGCCATTTGGTCGCATGCAGCGTGCACCTTTCTTGTGATGCAAAAGTCAACTGAAGACGAACGACACAACTGAAGACTCGCCATCCACTATCTACTCCCGTGTCCCCCTCCCCTCCTCCAAAATGGCCAAACTGCACACTAGCCGTGCTCTTAGCGTCCCCCCAAAACAGCACAAACCAGACGAGCCATACGAAACTGTGCCAGTTGTCGCTCACCGGGGCAAAAAGGGCCAGCTCCAAACGCTGGGAAGCCACCACGAGAAATCTCAGACGCCACAGATGCAGGCCGGGAGACTCGTCAAAGCATCCAAAAACAGGGGTGATAACAGTTTACTACACTTCCTCCCTTTGTGAAGTCCACACACACCCTTCCCCTCATTTTGGGCCCATGTCCGAGGCATCTTGTGAAAGGTTCGCGAGTTGGGACTCTTGTATGGGGAAAAACGACAGGTTTGCGCATGGCAGAAATGCAATCCATCAAATGTCTGTGAGAACGAACAACATGAAGAGGGGAAATCGTGAGCAAGGACGGTCATGGACCCTTTCCCCACTGGCTGGGTGCCCAGTTGTTTTCCTGCCTGCGCCACTGGACATTCAAAAACACGATTGGAATACACAAAAGGTGTGCGATCTGGCACGAGCACATGCCAAAATCGACTGACTGCCTTTTAATTTCTTGGAAGTCTAGTCTGCTTGGTTTGCTCCACTTTCTGCGCTTCCTCCAACTGCTCACGTCCCTCCTACCATCCCAATTCAATCTTTATTGCTTTTTCGCCGGTCTCACAGTACCCCAGGATCTGACCGCACCAAGACACAGACATGACAGAGAACGACTTTTGTGCGGAGAAGGCATTCACATTCACGATGCACATGCTCGACCGGCCCTTTTCGACTTCCCAGGGCCCTGTCTTTGGTTCCGGCGTATTTCTTGTGCCTAAACGCCGTTGCCGGCCATCGTGATCCCCTGGTGTTGGCTTGTGTTGGCTTGGTGTTGGCCGATTTTGTTATCTTGGACGTACGACATGCAAAGGGTACTTTTCTATTGGTCTAATTTTTCTATTTGTGTCTCGTCACGTTTGCCGCACTGGGGCTTCCCCTGCTTTTTTTCGTGTCTCCCCGCGGGGTGCAATGCCGAGGGATCTTGGGAATGGGGACACGCAAATCTGGAGAGACGCCCAGGGAGAATCCGGAGTGAAAATCTGGAGCAATCCGGGGCAAGAAACGGACGGCTTGAAAGCGCCATTTCACGGTTTTCTACCAGGCCCATGCTTCCTGGTGGAAGTTGCCGTCAATGTGCTCAATTGTTGACAATGAACATGTCGTGATGTTCTGTCGACTTCAGTCAGATGCTTGTGATATTGACTTACACGTGCAAATTGCTTGCACCCAGCAAGCCATTTCCTAATGCGGAAATACGGAGTTAGCGGCCACATTGAGGAGTCCTGGTACTGGGCCCCCTGCGTCGCATGCCACAGAGCCAGCTACCGCCCACAACCGGTGCTCTCAGTGCTTCGGTTTATAGTGCCTACAGCGGCAATACGCGACCTTTTTCTCTTATTCTCGTTCCATTTGCACTGGAATAATACTGCCAAGTGTCTCGGCGACGAAACAGTCCCTGGGCTTCACCGCCCTACCTGAGTTCCCACCGCCTAGACCAAGGCCCTCATGGCACATCATACGTTGTTTCTCGAACGGCTTTCACCATCAATACGATCGTACAGTGGCCATGAAACAATAGCAATCGACAGAAATGAGTGGAAAATGCGCCTTGGCTTGTTGTCTCCTTGATTGCGACTTCTCTCTCTTTGAAATTTTCCTCTTTATTGGAGTCGCTGCAGTCGTTTTGGGAAAAGCGGCGTTCAGCTTTGCAGGTATTGTCAAGTGTCGCTCATTTGCAGTTGCCGGCACGTTTGCAGATGCTTCGTAGTAAGACACACTGCAAATTCCGATACAGCAGAAGCGACAACATCTTACAGAACATGTTTTCTTGGCAGGCGAGTGGCGAATTAGAAGCGCCGAATGGCACTTTTTGGCATCTGCGGGGCGTGGAGAAGACACCTAAAAGGCCAGTAAACAAGAGCTAATGTCTCAGTGATGTCTTGGGCGGTCTCGTTCTGTAATACGGTAACCCAAAGGGTTCTTTCAGTGGCGCAGCCTTGGTCTTTGTTCTTTGTACTTTTCTGACGGAATTGTAAGATACCAAACGGGAATGTACCCATGACTCGACCATGAGCGACACCAACTTTTCGTGCGTCGTACGACACTCGGGGCGCCTGCGAATTTAGCCCATCGAGCGGACTCGATTTCCCCAGACAACGTCTGGAGTTGACGGCAGTCTCAGACGGGCTTTACGACTTGCGACTTGAGATGACGCCCAGGGAACTTCCAAAGTTTGGAGAAAGAGACCGACGCCGTCGCTGGCATTAACTGTTGGCTGGGAATATGCCAGACCGGGCCTTCCTGGGGTTGTTTTAGTGGACAAATTTGGGGACCTTTGCCCAGCGATCCAGCGAACCAGTGAGCTAACAAAATCGGCGCAGCAGGTCGCCACCTGCAACAGACGCACTTGCCTCATCGGAGATTTGGCAAGTTTGGACTGCGGGCGGCGATACCAACAGTGCTGATCTGATTGGCTGCCGACAAGGTCATATGGTGGGGACGTATTAATGTCTCTATTTTATTCAGGAGTAAAGTCTGGTTATGTGTAAGATATCCAGGGCAAAAGAAGGAAGGGAGCAAAAGGACGAAAAAGAGTGACGAACACGGAGAACCTGATGAAAACTACAGTTGCGAGGAGATGCGACACGAGGCCAAATCGAGGACGTGAGCTACGTTGCTTTTACCAGCACGCTATCGCAGGAAACTAATGCTAAGGACCGCTGGAATACACCCTCTTTGCCACCGTTCGCCCACATAATGGATCTTTCTCACGTACTAAACGAAGTCCCTACTCCGTACGAGCCCCGCTTTCCCCTAACGCCATCCAATCACATCACATCTCAACCTGCAAACGACGACCGAACAATCTACCGAGAGCTTCGACGAGAGTTGAGACTCGGAAAAAAAAAGCGAATCTGTTGAGACAAGGACATAAAAATACAAGAAAATGCAACATACAAAATTACGCCGTAAGAGTATTTCAATGTTGTACAACATGACGCGTGCTTTTTGCCTCCCGAGTTGTTGGTTTAGCTTTTTTTTTTTCAGTCTTCGGAAGGCACGGATCCCGGGAGGAAGCAGCCAACAACCGCACCTGCGATGGGCTGCAAGCGCAGGGAACCGGCTGCGACTGCTCCACGATCCGTCTTTTTGCAGTTGCCCTTGCGCTTATGTGCCATTCCCATATGCAGAGAGAGGCTCGAGGAATGCACTTGTCATACATGATTCACCTCAGAGATGACATACTTTGTAAGACTTACGTCGCGTGAGGATTTCTGACGACAGTCGGTGGGAGATCGAACGGTTTCGCCGCCCGCTATTTCCTACGGAGTATGCCTACGATGTGCGTTGTTCAAGATTGGGATGTTCGCAGACCGTTGGCCCGCGTTGTTTCAACCCCCAGACGTTCTCGAAATCGACATATCCACTTCTGAGCGATCGCTCGCTGGGGGTGCTGCGTTTGAGTGTTTGATGTTGCAGAAACTCGCTCGGCTGGGTCCATCACAAAGAGAGACGGGAGGATCTGGGTGGGAGGCAGCAAAAAAGAAGCGAGGAAATCAAAAGGGGACAGGACCAGGGGGCCTTGCAGAGCCACATGTTAATCATTCAATCATTTTGCAAAATGGCCCGTCTGCGGTGCGTCAGCTCGATATGCTGAACACGTAGCATTGAACAACGAATTGAATAGGAGATGGGGCCCAATATCGGGCCAACCATTACAGTGCTTCAGTAGAGCCTGGCTCCCTGGTTTAAGTCGTATTTCGGTATCGCAGGTTGCCCGATGTGACCCTTTTGCTGTCAACCGCGCCAAACGGAAAAGGCTGTGGCCGTACTTCGTTGAAGCCCTTGCATGGATATCGGTGGTTGTTTGCGCAGGGGGTCAGACGGGATGGCCAGAGCCAGGATCCTCCCAAAGCGAAGGAAGGCTCTGGCATAGGCTTATCAAGCCTCTCATTGGGTGGAAAATGGGTCTGGCTTTCTTTGCCTGGATTAAGGCCGTGATGGCTGATGATGGGAATGGATTGGCGTGCTGGGTCCTGTTGACCCAAGGACATATATCCCATAAATACAGCGCGCAGGGTGCACCGTGCACTTGCGGCAGCTGTGTCATAGTGTCCTGAGACGTTGCACTCGGCCGCTTTTATGTTTGGTGAAAGACCTTTGCAGGCTTGCCCTGTCCTTGTTCAATCCGGAGGACTTCCCGTTCCAGAAGTAAAATCGGTGGTTCGGAGAACACATCGGAAACCAAGGTTGTGGTGTTCGTTGAGTGGTTGATAATCTGCGACAATCGAAAGCGTCTGCAATCCAACCTCGATGGTGCATGTCGTACACAGGAACAACCACGAGTGCCAGCACGAACCGACGCGTAACGAATCGAAGACAACCGAGAACTGATCACGAGGAAACGAAACACTTCTTGAGTCACCTTGAGAGTGAACACCAAAGAAACAATCAACACGAAGAGGCTGAAACATTAGCACGGGGAATACACGTACGACAGGATGCGATTGGATATCGATGCCGAACCGACTGAGGCCGAAAAGAAGTATAATAAAATATAAAAAATGGTGCAATAGATAAAGAAAAGACGGTGAAAAAGGCCAATCCATGCAGATGCACATGCGGACGCGGGTCGTAGGATACAATACGCAAAACCCAACGTCGAGTATCCAAGGTCAAGGTCAACAAATGTAAAGCCAAAGAAACACGTGAGGATAGATAACCAACAGAGAAGAAATAACGCAGGCCGGAGACTCCATCATCGGCTTCCACCGGGCGTGTCTCGCCTCTCGGTTCACCTCCCTTCCATATCTCATTTTCAAGATCATGTGCAGATGAAACTGCGCTTCTATGTGTAGGTGCACTTCCAAGCGCCTCCTTTGTTCCGTCCGATTGAAGATATGCTTGCCAAGTGTTTACGTCGTGCTGTGCTGGCCCTTGGGAGTTGCGTTTTCGGCCGGCCTGTTGTCAGTGCCGTGTAGCGGTGACCGGAGGCACTCCGCACGCATACCGCGGACACAACAGCCAGAACCAGCTGATCTTCGTTTAGATCTTTGCCTTGACAGGAATCATCATCTCGCCGAGTCCAGAGCCGCCGTCGAAGATGTCCCGCTCGAGCGCGCGCGTGTTGACCTATTGGGAGGAAGAAAGGGAGTCAATGTTAACATGATTATTCTATCAGAAGCCGGCCCTCG